TTTGTCTAATAACAATAACGCATGAAGAGAAAATAGAGTGCTGCTGTGTGCTTGGGGGGGTTTGGAGTATCAAAATCAGAGGACTGAGAACTAATGTACTGTATATTCATTCCGGTTGAACTAAAATTGGTAGCAATATTTTTTACTCTACTTACGTTCCACATCTTCATTTGTTTAATACTTGGGCCATGGTTTTCACGAACACTCTTCTGTTTTTCTCTTAGACTCTGCAAACATGAGTAAAATTAATAGAAATGTACACAACATAATGGTAGAAGAGTTGGAAAATAATTATAGTGGATTTATTTCTATTTCTTCGCATCTATATACCGTATTTCTTGTAGGGCCAAATGTCTTATATAGAAATATCGAAGGGCAAAAATCTCGACTAAATATTTTAACACTCATTAATGAGATGCTCAGTATCGAGTGTGACCTTTCTTTTTAATATGGAAAAACGACGTTTCCTAATCCAATAATGAGCTAGGAGACAACTTTCAAGCCAAACAAAGAGTATAATATGTGCGACAGATGTGACCTCTTTTTATTTTATATACGGATTTGGCGAAAAATTATTGAAATGCCTTTCAGTATCTGCGGTACATGTCTACATGATACAGGTATATCTGATAGAGCAAGTAGGAAAGATTAGATTATCTAAAGCGAGAGATAACCTATACTACCTAACATATGGTAGAATAGCAAAGCTATAGTTCTGTTAACGTCATCGGCCAAAGTTAATACACATCAATTATGCATAAGGATTATACACTGTAAAATCAAACTGCTTAAAAAAACCCAATAAGTCGGTGCAGTATTAAATTCAGATTCAAAATCAATCTGAAACAACCATTCAATTTTTCGTTGTATTAATCACAAACCTTTCCCAGATTTTCTTGTTCTTGGATTTTTCTCGTGTATTGCTCTCTAAAAGTTGTGAATATATTAATACAATTTTTAAATTAATTTGCAATGGATTATTCTGGATTTCCTGGGAAAGTGTACGTTATTTCGAGCACAACCTCCCTCAAAATCATAAGGATTATTTGCTTAAAATGAGCCAGTAATATCGGACCTGTATGATTTCTTCTTATCGTTGGGATCAGAAGATGTATACGATTTCATTTCTGTGTCGATCCGCTTCTCCTGTACTTCAAGTAACTAGAGAAGAATACGAAAATTAAAGTCATATCTAGGCAAATAGATCTTCCAAGGGGTAAGACAGGGGGATTGGGCACATACTTCTGCTACCATCACAAATTACATCAAAGACTCTATAAATCATAAATAATTTTATTTTGCACAGGATAATGATACTTTTTTCTAGATGGGTGTACAGCTTTTCGGGTGGAGGAGGGATGTAGGTTAGTGAGCAACCCGAGAAAATATTATTAATACGCCTTTACAGAAATCTCTAAACCTTTTTATTCCAGAAATAGTTATTTCCATATGTGATATCTATATATAGTTAAACACCGAAATTACCTTTGTCATAGAATCTAAGTAAAAGTATCTACTCTCGTCATGGGCAAGTTCTTCTCTTAATGCTTTCACTTCCTACGAGAATATAACAAATATAAACAAGATGAAGCTCAACGACGACAAAGAGCAGCATATACTGTAAGTATACTGTTGTGGTATAGGGTTTTTATACCGGGCGGAAATGGTTAATATTAACAATCACTTCCAATGAAGGTCTTGTTTGAAAAACATTGCCCTCTGTTTATCCATGTTTTTAACTAAAATTAGTATTAAAAGATTAAAGTCGTTGACCACATTCATTAATAACAAAAGAATGTTAGGATTAGCTTATATAGATTCTTTGCTCTACATTCGGTTAGATTCTCACTGGCATTTCTACATAACGGAATGAATATTGCGCGAAGTGTAAATATGTGGTGGTACACCTATTCCTATATATGCATGCATGTTTTAAGCAATGGTATAATTAACCAAGTTGTCTTAAGGTGGCTCCCTAGTGTTTTATTTCCGGGGGTTACGTTCTTCGTATACATGTAAACTAAAACTCGTGTGACTTCAAAATACGAACGAACGTTGTGTTTTATATGGAACTCTTTTTTGAAACAAAAGTGTGAACTTTGCTTTAGTTGAAAGCATAAAAGAGTTCTAAAAGCCAAAACGATACTTGGATGTGATGTTTCAAAAGAAGATAATGTAAACTTGTTTTTTTTTCAAGCGGTATTCTGGATGTTTTTTGAACCGCCGTACGCGAGGTTCGATCGCGAACATTGGGATATGATATAAAGTTTCCTCAAGAATTTGCAGTGTTTTCTCCACAATCTAGCAGCACTTATGACAATAAAGATGACTTAAATAATGAGCCCTCTACGGGTGAAATGAGCAGGGCCGAAACTCCAAACGCACCGCTATAAAAACTGAAATTTAAACGGGCATTTTGCGAAAACCTCCGACGATAGTACTAACTCGCACGGGACGAATTTTAACAATTATTTTTCAAATTAATAGCAAGAAGTCATAACCAGTAATTACCTAATATCTTTGCCATTTTTACATGTATAATCCACGCTTAGTTGACCATTAACCGACACAGTTATAAACAGTATATCGAACATAATTTATATTTTGTGATTTCAAAAAAGTCATGCTTTGTTGTTTTATGCAGAATGCATGTACACGTCAGTTGGGGTATTAAATTGTTCGCGTAAAAATCTAGTAAAAATTGCCAAAATTAAACCCAAATTTCTCCGTTTTCCTTCGGTAAAATTTTTTAAAACTTTGCACATTTTTTAATATCGGTACAACAAGTGCAATATCCTTTTTTCGTAAAATTAAATCGAAGGGAAAATGTTTAATATTGATTTTTGACGTTTTTTAAATTTTCTAAGAAACGTATCGATTTAATTTTTTTAAATTGAGGGGAAAAAATCATTATACAAGTATTATCTTTTGTGCAAAGTTTTAAAAAATTTCACCGAAGGAACTTTTTAAAATGACCTGAAAAAGACAAATTTTGAGCTTTATTCTAAGCATGCTGTTGCCATGGCAACATATTTTTAACACAAAAGTAGCAATTTGCAATGTTCAGGAGAACATTGTCAATGTGTCCAATAAATTTCGTTTTCATGTCATGTAAAGTAAAGAAACAGGAGCCTCCTGAATACTATAGTGTAGTAAATTAAAAAACCCTAGGGAGCCACCTTAAATAACATTTCATATAGTTATAACTTGTAGAATGGCATGCATGACTTAAATAATTGTCATTTCAAAAACACGGAAGAACAATCACCTGTTCCAATTTGGACAT